AGGGCTGCAGTGGAGTGAGGTTGGAGGCAGGTCTGGGAGATTTAGCAGGTGCGGGAGGAGGAAAAGGGGGTCAAAGACGAGGCTCTGGTAGGGCTGCAGTGATCCAGGATGGGGGATCACGGTTAGGGTCGTGGGCGCCCTGACTTCTTCCCAAAGGCCGGTGGGGCGAGGACAGGCTCCCATTGGGGCAAGGCAGGGGCTCTGCTGGGGCCAGGGCACAGGTGCTGGGCTGCTGCATGCTCCGGCGGATGTGCACAGTGGCCCGCCAGCCAGATGGGGGACTGGTGGGGAGCTGGTCTGCAGCGTGGGGACGCACCCTGGAGGGGCTGGGGGGGCGGGAGAATCGCAGGAATGGGCATCCCCTGAGAGCAGCTGGCAGGGCTTGGGGCCGGTGGCACTGTGCCAGCAGCGTGGTCAGGATGCCGCAGTGCCTGCAGCCCTGCTGCTGGCCTGGCAGCGCCTCTGGCCACGGCCCATGTTCCTGCCGTTTCTCCTCCTTCATGCCCAGTCGACCGGTTCACTTTCCCGGCCCTGGAAGAAGATGTGATCTATGACGACGTCCCCTGCGAGAGCCCGGATGCCCATCAGCCTGGTACGGCCTCTCCTACCCTTCCCTGGGCCGGGAAGGGAGGGTGTGGCCTGGGCAGGGTCCTCTTGTGGTTCCTTCCGTCCCCACCCAGCCCGATGCCCCTCCTTCTTGCCTTTAGAAACCACTGCAGTTATCCTGGGAGAGTCTTGCAGAGCCCGAGCGCGTGCGTAGGCCAGGATGGGCAGTGCTCTGCTTCACAGGCAGACGACCCTTAGTGGGTCCCCAGGAAGGTCCTTTCACTTCTCTAAGCCTTGCTTAGAGGCTTCCTCCCTCAGGAAAATGGGGCTTCTTGGGGCTTTTAAGGAAAATGACAGATTTTTAAATCCCAAAGGGCAAGAGTCTTGGAAAGCCCTGAGCCCTTGCTCTCTGCCCCGGCTCCGCCCCTACTGTGGGTCAGGACAGGGGTGGGGTGGAGGGGGAGTAAGTCCTGTTGGAGCTCACCTGATGGGAGAGAGGAGGGCTGTGGATTAGCAGATCAGGAGCCATCTTTGCTTGAACACTTATTAGCCAAGCTCTCTTCCTCGTAGCATCATATAGCCCAGCCCTTTGGTTTGAGCACCATGTCTTCATTGTTTAGAGAAGGAGACTACAGCAGTAGTGCCGGGATCTGAACCTGGGTCATCCTGACTCCAGGTCCAGTGCTCTGTCCCTTATCCACGGGAGGATTGGGGTGGCATTTTATGACAGACGAAACCCATTTAATCCCACTGTTTAAGGTTGGCACGGCAGGGCTTATGGCTCCACCCACACCAGAGAGGTTAAGCCATTAGCCCCAGATCACACAGCTGAGGTTTGAATGAGTAGTTCTGCTTTTTCCGCTGTGCTATTTTGCCTGTTTTCAGGGGTTCTTTACCTAATGGGGGAAACACAGCTGGTTTTCAGGAGCTCCTCGTCTGTCAGGGGTGGCCGTAATACTCTTGGGCAGCGCACAGCCCCATGGGAGAGGCACACAGACAGTGTGACAGATCCCTGGGATCCCCTGCTTCCCCAGAGCCACACTGCCGACGCCTGTCCCAGGAGTGGGGGCAGGTGGGCCAGCCATGTGAGCGTCCTTTAGCAAACCTGGCCGTGCTTGGAGCACATTTCCCTCGCTCACGCATCCAGGGCGGGTGGGGAGCACTGTGCAGGGGGTCTCGCAGGAAGGGCCTAGCCCTGGGGAGCTGAGGGGCCGCAGGTGTTGTTTAACCCCTTCGGGCTGCTTCCCCCTGAGTAGGATCGAGCAGCCCCTTCCTTGGCCCCAGTCTTTGCTGTTCTCAGGGCCTGGAAAGATGTAGCATAGCCTTGCCATCTGCCTGGAGGTGGTTAAGGGCAGGTAGCCGTGAGGCAGACAGCCTGCACTTACGTCTTGGCTCTGTCCCTGAAAATGAGGGACCACGAGACCCACCCACAGGGGTGTGGGAAGACTGAGTGAGAGCAGGCGGTAAAGAGCTCAGCCCTGGGCCTGGCCCTCCGTAGGTGCTCTTCACAGCTCAGGCCCTGGCCCTGTTCACTGTCTGGCCATGGCCTGCCACGTCCTCCCCCAGGCCCCCAGTTTCTCATCCATCTCGTAAGAGGGGTTGAGATTGACACTCTCCTGACCATGCGGGGCTGCTGGGAGATGGTGCACGCAAACTGGGGGTGGGTGGGGCGGCTCAGCCCTGTGGAGGCACAGACCTACCCGATGCAGCCATGGGTCTCAGGGGAAATCCAGGAACAGGCTCAGCTCCCTCAGCCACTAGTCGTGGGGCCCCCACTGCAGGACAGGACTTTCAGCAGCCTTCCAGAGGTCGCAGACAGTGCACCAGCTGCTGCACTCTCTGGGGACATTAGTCTCCATTATCTTTGCTTAAAAATAGCCTTAGTTCTTTCCTGGTCCCGGTACCCAAGCCTCCCCATAATAAGCCTGGGAGCATCTGCCTGTTCTTTGGCTGATGGTCTCCTTGCTCCTGCCCCCCACCGCCCAGACTTTCTGTGGGCAGTGCTGGGGCTCTGGGTCACTGTGATGGCACCCAGGCCCACCAGAGCCACAAGTGATGATCAGCTGCTCTGGGCTGGGCTTTGCCATGTGCCAGCTCTGCTAAGCCCTCTGGTCTGTGCTGTGTTTACTTGACCTGTCAGCTTCTATTCTCATTTTTTGCAGAAAGCTCCCTGTTTTTCAGTATTGGTGTTTTGTTTTTGTTTGCTTTTGTGTCCCCCCACCCCCTTCTTTCTTTCCTTTCCTTTTTTTTTTGGCTATAGGGTTTGTACACTCGCCAGAAAGGGAGAGAGAGGGAAAGTGAGAAATCGCTCCCCAGGGGATTGGCCATGCCGAAATCCTTCTCTTCCATTCCCTCTCAGGATTTTGGGCTTGCACGTACATGCACCTGGTGTGATTTTCAAGCCACCAGGTCTGGCACTCGAACCACGCAGCTGGCCACGTGGCGTCTAACGCCTTAACCACCTGCCGGCCCCGCACAGATTTTTGTTTTTTAACTCTTCCTAATGCCATATTTGTTATGTGTTGCACTTGTGAGTCCGACCTCTGAGGTCTGCAGTTCTTCCCCAGGTACCAGACGTGGGAACAAAGCCCAGGGGGGCAACGGGACTCCCAGAGATTGAGCTGGCCAGAGACCCCTGTGTTCTGGCTTCCTGATGGTGGCTTCCTCACTCCAGCTCTAAGCAGTGTCTCTAACCTGACTTGACAAGGGACCCAGAGTGCCACGCCCTGGGGGACCTGTCCATTCAAAGGGACTCAATCCTCTTTCCCCACTTTTCAGTCGAGGCATTTCTGGTGGGGCCTTGGAAAAGGAAGTGCTCCTGGACGCTGGGCCAGGTGCGCCCCCTGCAGGGCCCTCCAGGACCTGCCCAGGAGCTCCAATTTAGGGCAACAGATCCAGAGGAAGGGAGGACCTGCCCTGGGCCAGGCTCTGTGCCAGCCTCTTGCTGGACCCATTGAATGCCCTAGCCATTTCCGTGTAGCGCAGGATGAGAGCCCGAGTCAGGACCTGACCGTCGGTCTTGTCTTTCCCACTGTAAGACACCGAGGAGGCCCAGGGTGAGCACTCCACTCCCAGAAATGCTGCATGCCTGGCACTTCTCTGCGTTTCCCCATTTTCTCGTGTCCTCACCCTTCATGCGGATGGTGTATTGTCACTGTCTCTGTTTTATGGTCAAGGAGGTGGAACTGGAGCCCAAGGACCAGGGCCTCACTCACTGCTCCTTTCCTGCCTCCCCCTCCCCCTCCTTGCACCCCTGGGGTTGCGATGTTGGGTCCAGGACGGGGACTCTGGCAGGGTAGGCCTCGGGCTCTGCTCACCAGCCCTGTGCCTTGGCCGGCAGGAGTGGAGAGAAGCCTGCTGTACGAGGATGTGCACCGGGACGGCGTGCCTCGGGAGGCGGAGGACCTAGGCTGGAGCTCCAGCGAGTTCGAGAGCTACAGCGAGGACTCCGGAGAGGAGGCCAAGCCGGAGGCAGAGCCTGCCAAGCACCGAGTGTCCTTCCAGCCCAAGGTGAGGGGACCAGGGTTAGGGCGTCCAGGCCCCTTCTGGGAGGGGTGAGTGGGTGTGAGGGCCAGGCCCGAGACTTGCTCTGATCATCAGGGGTTCCCAGCAATCTGTGGAGAGATGGACAGGAGCCCAGGTCATCTGAAACAGGAAGTGTCCTCGGGCATCGCCGGATGGCAGTGGGCGGGGTCAGTACCAGGCACAGGTTCTAGCCCACTCATTCCTGGGCCGACCCGTCAGCGGGTCTTAATGCCCATGGGCTTGGATTGCCCTTTATAGTCATTTTCTTTTCTTGTCTTTTTTTCTTTTTTATCTAGAGAGATTTTTGTTGTAGGGCATGTGTTTCCCTGGAAAGACAGAGAGACAGAAAGCGAGAAGTCATCCCCCCAAAGGGGTTGGCCATGCCACGATCCCTTCTCCTCCATTCTCCTCTCTTCTCCTCTCAGGATTTTGGACATGCATGCACATGCACCTGGCATGAGTTTCAAGTTGCCAGGTCTGGGACTCGAACCATAGTGGGCTACATAGGCATCCAGTGCCTTAACCACTATGCCACCTGCTGACCCCCACAGTCATTTGCAACACAGTGCTTCAGGGGGTCCAGCCATCTGGTTAGTGCCGGCAGTAGGGTCGTTCACCTCAACTTCCTGCCCTGTGGATGCAACCTCAGACCAGCCGCAGACCCACAGGCCTCTCTGCTCTGGGGGCGTGGGGGGTGGGGGGGTAACACCTTTCAGAGTACCACCTTGCGTTTGGAGCAGGGATTGTCACCCATGGCACAGAGGGAGCCACCAAAGCTGCAAGCAGGACAGGTCATACGACCCCATCTTTCCCATGAGGTCCTTGCCTCTCCCACACGGTTCCGTAGAAGCCACCAGAAGAAGGCAGCTTTGTCTGTGCTGAGGTGTGCGACAGAGTGGGAGCAGCTTCTTACAAGCTCTGGCTGACAGAGGTCCTCTCAGGCTCCTTGTAAAAGGACACAGACATGGGACCAGCAGATGGCGAAATGGCTACATTGCTTGACTCCCATGTAGTCGACCATGGTTCAAATCCTGGACTTGGTGGCTTAAACTCATGCCGGGTGCGTGTGTGTGCGTGCCCAAGATCACGAGAGGAGAATGGAGGAGAAGGGATTGTGGCATGGCCATCCTCGCTGTGGGAGTGATTTCTTGCTTTCTGTCTGTCTCTGTCTCTCTGGTGAGCACACACGCCCTATAGCAAAAACCTCTCCAAA